GGCGGTCTCCATGCACGATGAGCTCTTTCGACTACAGCAAGCGAATATGTCCATCCATGACTATACAGTTTGATTCCGTACCCTCACGGCAAACAGCGGATGGAATGAAACGGCCCTCTATCAGCGTTCCGACGTGGTCTAAACCCTTCAATCAGACAGCAAATGTCTATCTATGAAGACACCGTAGGTCTAGAGAGCTTTCTGCAAAAAGCGCTGCACATCTCCCAACATCTAACCGCCCTGGGGCCAAATGACCTAGGGGATAGACATGTCCCTTATCGATCCCGGAGCGCGCTGCTATGGAGGAGTACATAAAGGAGGCATTACATCAGGGGTTCATCCGTCCTTCCACTACTCCTGCAGCATCCAGTTTCTTCTTTGTGGCGAAGAAGGATGGGGGCCTACGCCCTTGTATCGACTATCGAGCACTCAACTCCCAAACCATCAAATTTTCCTATCCACTCCCTCTGGTGCCAGCCTCGTTGGAGGAACTCTGTGGTGCCCGGATCTTAACAAAACTCGATCTATATAATCACACCAGAGGGAGTCCAAATGGACCAAAACAAGGTGGAAGCAGTGAGGAATTGGCCACAACCCACCACGGTCAAAGAGCTGCAGAGATTCTTGGGATTCGCAAACTTCAATCGGCGTTTCATCGCCCATTATGGTCAACGGTCGGCTCCACTTACCTCTCTCCTCTGTCAGAAACCTTTCCCAATGGAAGGGTGAACCCCCCGTACTCCATCCATGCGCATACTTCTCCAAGAAGATGTCCCCGGCGGAGCAAAATTACGACATAGGGAACCGCGAGTTACTGGCCATCAAATTCGCGCTGGAAGAGTGGCGGCACTGGTTGGAAGGGGCTCAACATCCCTTTCGAAGTCATAACTGATCACAAGAACCTTCAATACCTCCGTGAAACTAAACGTCTCAATCCCCGACAAGCCTGATGGGCCTTATTCTTTACCCGTTTCCAATTCACAGTAACCTACCGTCCAGGGCATAAGAACCTCAAAGCAGACGCTTTATCACGACTTCACCAACCAGATCCATCGCCAGATAACCCGGAACCCATTCTTTCACCCACTGTGTTCGCATGTCCAATCACCTGGGAAGTGAATGATCAAATTCGTGCCGCCACTCTCACAGAACCCGCTCCGCGGGGAGGTCCGGAAGGGAGACTTTATGTACCTACCACTCTACGTCTTACCCTTCTGGACTCCATCCACACTTCTCCGGGATCGGGTCACCCAGGCAGCCAACTAACCCTCTCGCTCCTCCGGAACAGATACTGGTGGCCCAGCATGGCTCAGGATGTCGCCCGCTACGTCAAGGGTTGTTCGGTCTGCACAATCACATCCACTCCACGCCATTTACCTGCAGGAAAACTGGTTCCCTTACCTATTCCACGTCGACCCTAGTCCCACATTGGAATCGATTTCACCACTGATCTTCCACCCTCTAAAGGATTCACTACCATATTTGTCGTGGTGGACAGATTCTCCAAAACCTGTAAATGAATCCCCTTACGTGGATTACCCACTGCTTTGGAGGCAGCCGAAGCTCTTTCAGCATGTCTTTCGACACTTTGGTCTCCCTGAAGATATCGTTTTAGATAGAGGGCCGCAGTTCATTCAAGATCCAGGAGATCGGGCGGTATCTCCGAGCCTACTGTCACGAACACCAGGACAGCTGGAGCCAGTATCTTCCCTGGGCCGAGTACGCTCAGAACTCGTTGCGACAGGAAACGACTGGGTTAACACCATTCTAGTGCGTGCTCGGATTTCAACCACCACTCTTTCCCTGGACTGGAGAGCCTTCGGAAGTCTCCGCGGTTGACTTCTGGTTCTGTGAGAGCGAGAGGGTATGGGACTCAGCACATGTCCATCTCCAGTGGGCAGTACGGAGACATAAGGACTTTGCTGATGCCCATCACGCACCCACACCTGTTTACCAACCAGGAGACACCCGTGGGGGAGGGGGTACTGTCACAGATTCACCAGCCACATCAGCCACACCAGCCACCTGC